TGTAGCTAGCTGGATGGTTTCCACTGCAATTGTAGCATTTTACATCATTTATTTTTCCCGTATGTGGGCAGTTCATTGTTAGGTGCTTTCCTGCGCATTTGACATACGCCGAGTTTTTGTTGCAGTAATTTTTTGTATGTCCGTATTGTTGACACCGCATACATTGCGGTATGTCTTTTTTATGTCTGGGTGGCTCAACTGTAATTATTGTGTTTAGAACTTTTTTAATTTCGAAAATTTCCTTGTTATTATTTTTAGGTTCAAGTTCTATTAGAAATAGCGGTAATGGTTGTTTAGTATCATATCTGGTTATGTTATTTATTGTTTTTACCTGGTGTCCCATTTTGGCTAATTCCTCGCATATGTTACTTGTATTTGTCTTTGGGTGTAATCCTTTGATTACTGTTTTGTAACTTTTATCAGTTTTGAGCTGGTAAGTATGATACCCAGCGTTTTTCTCTTTTAGTGCTTTTGTCACTTTTCTAAAAATTTCTGGGATATTAGTTTGTACTTTTACCTGATCCAATTTTAGTTGTTTAATGCCGTAATTTTCTTTTCCTGCCGTGCTGTTTAGCAGTTCAATGAGGGGGTCTATTATTTTAGCATCTATGTAGATTGGTGGTGGTTTGGCAACGTGTGTTATTGGTTTTTCAGCTGGGCCTGATTCCTTCTCTTCTGAAAGTGCGCTGAAGGAGTTTTGGAGAGGAATTTCTTGTAGCCATTGTTGCCTTTCTGTTTCTATAGCCCTCCTAACATTTGTATTTGATGTTATTTTTCGTTTTATGCTGAGAGTTACAGTCTTCCAGCTTTCATCCTGGTGTAGTAGATCGTTGTTGATATTATTCTTCTCGTCATTATTTTGTGTAGTTCCCATTTCTATTTCATTTATAACTGAGCAATCCTGATCTTCGTTTGTTGATTTATTTGGGTTTGTTTTATCTACAGCTCTGTTTATAGAATATGTTTCACCTTTGTTTAATATTTTTATTGGTGGTACTTTTTGCATGTTTTCCATCATTTAGCGATTGGTTCTATTGTAAGTCATTTTGTTTTCCCACTTGTCGCACTTACGGAAGCACTGATTCACACGTCCGTATAGCTCGACTGCTTAGGCAGAACTGAATTTTTTTTTTTTTTTTTTTTTGAATGTTACATCGAATAATTTGAATTTGCTAAATTCCCAACAACTATTAATCTCTTAGGTACGATGTGCCACCATAGTGGCTTTCGTCAATGTCATCTTATATTACTGTTGAAGTAATTACTTCAATAAAAACTCTACATCTTTATTCATGTATATCCGTGGAGACCGCTATTACGCAGAAAATAGAATTTAGCGAAACAAAAATATTCTAAATAAGGAGAGGTCCATATTATTGTGCTCTTGAATATAAATTATGTTTTGGGTTACAAGATCTAGGAACAAAGGAACTAGTAAATAGAGTTCTATTTATGTTTCTTGTAGCCTTTAGCTAGAGCTATAAGGTTAATTTTTTTGGTAATGTCCTTTTGTTACAAATAATACATGAACGTGCTCCTTATCGATTCTATTGTATTGTAACAGTATGAGAGTGGGGGTCTGGATCAGTATGAAGTTATACGTTATACTTATACCTATACCTCTATTTATATAAATATATTTTTCTATTACAAGTTCACCTACTCGTTCTTCAATCAGTCAATCTCAACAATTACGACGCGCCACTATAGTTGCTCACTCTACCAGCTCATTCGCTCACCATTTAAAATAAACAAATTTTTTCATTTGTCTTGCTTCGCGCTGTTGTTGCCCTGACAACGTTTTATAACAGAATTAACAATATTCAAACAGAATATATAGTCTTTGTTTTTGATACGCCAGTATCAAGTATCGATTGTTGCTTTTCATTAAGATAAATATACCATTATTAGATGCTCATTTTAAGATGTCGATTTGTATTCTTATAATTTTTTAGAATCTTTAACTTCAAATATATCGTTTCAAAATAGAAGATTAAGAGTAATTTGAAATCCACCCCAGTTTTTTCTCCAGGTTCCTTCCTTTATTATGGTGGATCAGTACTTCAAATAGTTCATGGTTTATTTTCCTTGCAGGTTTGCTAGCGTCTTACAATTTTTTGATCTGTTTCTTCCCATTATGTTTCTTTTGACTTTTTCTTCTCTATGACTGTACCTTGTTCTTTTTTTGTCTCCCCATTTGTTAGTGATGCTCTATATGTCTACATTCATGATGTCTAAATGTCCCGGGTTCGGCGTAGGTTCTTTACCTATTCACATGTATTGTATCGTATCCCTGCTTTCTCCTGCTAATTATTTCATACCTATTTTCAATTGTTATATCTCCGTTGTCTGTCTTTGCATGTGATATTCTGTCATCGGCATATTTAAGTTTATCCAGTTACTTTATCATATTGATCCCTTTTAGGTTTGGCTAGCGTGCCTGCATTATCATATCATCTTTTTCTTCTGGGTTCGGTTGTCTATTAAAAGCTGGCATATTCTGTGTTACCTGGCTTTTGGCTGTATGATAGCCAGAACCTAGAAAAATTTGGAGAAAAAATATTGCAAATACTGTTTTAAATATTCGTTGTTCTACAATTTAAATAAAAACTATCTTAAATAGACAGTAAAATTCTGCCAAATAAAGAATTTTAATTTTGATAATGCTTTTATTCCACGAGGAGGGTAAATGCATTATGCATATCCAACAGCCTGTACTGTTGAGTTAAGTGAGATTGGGTTAGATGGTATGCGCCATACTCAATAAAAACATTTCTTCCTTTCCTAGCCTTCACAAGGTACATGACGACCAACCCCGGAACCACCATGGGTATTACTTAAGGATTGGTCTCCTTATTTGTTCGTACTTTAGTAATCAACGCGTGGGAAAAACAGTATTTCCCCCTTTTTGCTATCATCCTTTCTTAGAATGTTGTCAAATTTCCCTCTAGTAGATCTACTCGTCGGCCATCTTACTTATCTATTTAAATCAGCCAATCGCCTCTACTCGTGTCATATATGTCCAGTCTTCATCTGTGAATTTTCATTATTTTAAGTCAGTATGTCTATTCTTCTTCGTTTTGTAATTACTTCCTGCTTTTTATTCTTAAAAATGCGTTCAAATTTTCCTCAAGTTGATCTTCCTGCTGGCTATCTACCTTTTCTACTTGATCGACCAATCAGCGCACTTATTCCGCGAATCAATCAGTCACCTTCCATCAATTTCCGCAGGCCAATTAGCGCGCACCGTTATGGCGGCGGCATCTCTATCGCACCGTGCGCATGCTCGTAATCAATCTCTCTAAGATAGCCGCTTATTGCTCGTGTTAGCACGTATTCGTCATCACATCACATCAGATACATACTGAACGTCGTCGTTTCTACACGTCCCTACATTATCAGTCATCACCTGTGAGTTTTTATTATTTTAATTATATTATTATTTTTATTATTTTAAGACGGTATGTTTACTCTTCCTCATTGTCTCATTATTTCCTGTTTTATTTTCTGGGTTTGTCTGGCTTTTGCAATTTTCTTATCAACAATATTTTGGGGTGTAAGAGTTTCTCCTACCCGATTTTTCAATGTCACTTTTCCGCACCTCACTTAGGACTGTTGAATGTCCTGGTCCTTTATTGCAATCTCATCACCCGCCACTAATATCTTTATCCATACGTGTACGTTATTTTAATAATCTAAAACATAAAATAAAATATTTTAACTTTGCATTAAATATTATTTCAAATATTTCTTGATGACAAAAATAGATTGGGGAAAGAAATGATATTAAAATGCAAGAAACCATAATATTGAAAATAAATTTAGTTTCCTCTTTTAGTGGCTATTTGCATGTAACAGAGTGAATCGTTCAAAGTTTTCGTCACTTAGGCTACTCCTTCGCTGGCACAGAATCAATCCAGCGAAGCTAAGCGATCTTTCAACTGCGATAGACGACGAAATTGTTTCGTATATTTGCACTTTGTGATATTTTGAATTCATGCGACGTTACAGTCTCAGTGTTTCAACGATTCTAATTGTACAGTGTTACTACCATTGTCAAAACTCACTCGGTTTCCCATGAATGAAAAGAAATCGTCTAATTCTACTATATCTTACACTTTGCATTGCGAGAGTGAAGAGGATTGATTTCATACACCTTTTAAAGTTTTCAGCACTATTTCTTTGATATAATTACGTCTATCTTCCATCTTGGTTACAATCCACCGTAATTTCCATCTTGGATGACTAACAATCGCAATTGTGTAATCAGATGTTCTCTAAGTCTTCGGTTTTCAAAAACTCGTAAAAATGAGAAAAATAAAACGCGTAGATAAATTGTATAGTAGAAAATATATTTTAATACAGAAGTGTAAGTATAAGTAGGAATATAATTTAAGCTGGTCCCGATCCACACGCCAGCAGTATTACCCTATGTCGCCTGTCTACTGTTTATGGTGTGTCTTCGTCCCAGTCTATTGTCTATACGCTGTGGATAGCTTCAGTGCTTGAGAAAGCTAAAAAGACCAGATGTAGAGTTTTCTTAGAAGTGGTGACCACTTCAACATGTATAATTGTCTACGCCATCGATATTTTGAAAACTATGTTCTGTCTATCTAAAATCTATGGAAAAATATCACCCATATAAGTTTTGTCATCTTGCAATTTATCCAAAGCGTATGCGATTGATCCAAATATTTATTCTTATCTATATATCTTCGATAAGCACCAGTTTACTCACACCGATACTCGAAATGCATCCCCATACAATCACAGAACCTCCTCCTCCGTGTTTTAAGGTAGGTTTTAAATTTTTGGACTTCAAAACTTACTACTTACATTCACTATTCGCCATACTATACTCTTTTTCTATCTGAATTAAAAATGCATTATTTACTCTCTTCGGAGAATACGTCATTCCACCAATTTTGAAGTTTCTTCATGAATTCTTTAGCGAAAGTCAATCCCTTTTCCTCTGTTTATTTCGTTTATATACGGCTTTCTTCTTTCTATTCGACCATTAAATCTTGTACTGTTTCTACACTGACTTGTTTCCTAGTTTCACGGCCAACCTCTCCATATTATTATTCTTTCCTCCTTTTCATTAATAATTCGAGGTGGTTTTTTCTTAAATTTGATACAGTCTTCTTCTTTATATTTTTTAATAATATTCGCAACTGTGCTCTTCTCCATTATTAACAATTGTGCGATTTCACGATAATTTTTACCTTTTTCTTTATGATAAATAACAAGATGTCTTTTATCGAAACTACTATTCTGTCCTTTATGTGGCATGTTAGAATTCAGACACTAATACTTCTCAATATAGCTTTGTACTGAGATAGAATTATATTGTAGCGGTTTGTATGTAAACAAATCTATTTTGGACTTGGAATGGTTTTTAAGAACTACTAAAATACAGAACATACCATAGTGTACAAACATTAATGTGACGTGAAAATGTGACAACTTTTTGTTTAAAATGTGTTTACGATTAAATGTTATTGTTAGAATGGAATTGTTTATATATTTTCAATCTACAATAAATGATTTATCTTTAGTAAAATAGACAATATAATATTTAAATTATTGTCTTACAAACAGCAATTACAAATAAATACGCAAATTAAAGAGTAACGATAGTTATCACTGATAAATAATCTGACAGACATGAAATGTTTACTTGAACAAATTCTCTGTGTTCATTGCTTCGGCTACTCTATTTTACAATTTGACTTTTCGAAATTTTAATAAACGTGGCGTACACGACACTCCAATGAATTATCGATGTATACGTACCAATCGAATATTTTACACTATGTATGTATAAAAAAAGACAGTATGAGAAGTTCATCGTCGGATGCGATAATGTTCAAGTAGTACACAAAAAAATTTATATTACATTGGGAGAAAATAGTCTAACAAGGTTATACTTTCCACATAATAGAAAATTTCAAAGATGACCGAAAAATATTCCGCCATTGAGAGGGAAATATCGGAGAAAGAAAGTTCAATTAAAATTAGCAATTCTGTTTTTCAGAGATTAACGTCAGGTAGATAGTTGATATTATACGTATAAATAATTCATTTAATTTTTAAGAATTTCATTTCATACTTCAGTTTGTGTGTATGTGGAAGAGAGATGTACGCGCGTGTGAACTCTTTTTATATGTCATAATAACATCATATTATTATCGTATTATTTTTAGAGTAAGGTTAATTTTTATTCTTTTCTAGTATAATTGTTCTATTATAATTGTTTTCTAGTAAAATTGTTGTTATTAGAGATCAAATGTGTATATTTATAGCAAGCTGTTTGCTATATACACATTTAAGGAAACAAACTATTTGTTAGTTTAATTATAAATTATAATATGTTAGATATAGTATAATTATATTAGTATTATTTAAAAATGTATAGTGCAAACTATAAATTATAATATAGTTAATATATCAATATATTATTTTTCTTTGTTTTCTTCTATTCGCGTACGAATAAAGAAATAAATCACATCACGTATGTATTACATTTTATTTTTTTATACAATATTTGCATATGTTATGTATAAACAATTCAAGTATATTGTATGCGTAATTTGAAATATATGATAGGAAAACGATTATAATCATAAAATAGCTAGAATGAAATTTTGAAGAAATTGCTCTAACTAATTAATTACAGTATTGTTTTATCAATCGAACGTCATCTTGTATCATTCAATTGATCGGTCGTCACTCTCACCACTTTCCCAAAGATTAGTACGACACACTGGGAAGCTTGGCTCAGTAGTATGAATATCCTAATCTGAACTTGAATTTCAATGAATGACAGTAATAATATGATGAAACTTTTTATTTTTAACCTTTTTTCAATTAAACTTTTACTAACGAATCTATGGAATTTTTTGGGTTAAAATTAGAATATGTGGTTAAATTAGAATATATTTTAGATCACATTCAAATACACATTTAATAGGCGAAAGAAAATAGGCGGATGTAATTAAATCAGCGAATATGTCGCAGATTGTCGTGGTTTGGTCATGTTTTAATTATAAAAATCTCATTACATTGGTAAAAGTCTCACTAAAAAAGAAAAAGAAAATTAAAAATATAAAGGCTTCATTGTTATTTTGGCATTGTGTTACCGAGATATATTTTGGATTAAGCCGACTTTCTAATTTTTCTTTCCCTACGTTCAGCGAGATGGTGAACCGTAATACGATAATTCGTCACTGAGAGGGATCAATTAATGAGACAGTAGTGTATTTAACAAATGAATATGTTCAATAAAACAAATAAATTTCAAGGTATTGTCAATGAAGAAATCTGTACAACTGATGAAAAATGCTGGCTCGATAAATTAGTTGCTGTTGATAAGGATCATACCAGAGAAGCTGGTTTACATATAAATGAAATTGAAAGACTTTTAAACGACATTGATACATATACACGCACAAAACCTCGACGCGGTTGTCCCGTTGATTCTGTTAAAGTAAGTCTTTCATACAGCTGAAACAAAGGTTTTAAAACTTGTAAAAAAAAAATGCAGTAATCCATTAAATAATATTATTAAGCATTAATAATAAAATAATAATGTATAACTCCGATGTAAAAAAATGGATTACTTTTTACTTCTACAAAATTTTCTTACATACAATAAATAGGGCTATTCTGAGTAACCTTCTTTACGTATAATTCGAATCAATTATACTAAGAAAAGGTTTACTTTCTACGTAGCACAATGTGAAAGATACTTTACGTTTAGTAAAAAGAATATTGATTCTTCAAGCATGTTTTAAAAAATGGCTGTCTCTTCGTTGGGAAAATCACTAAATAATTATTCACAAAGCGGTCCATCTCACCGATTTCAACGAAGTATGTTGTCAAGGTCAAAATTCTGAACAACTTTCAATAGCGTTATCGTCGTTCAGATTTAGTTTCCGAGACATACATTTCTGTCGCGTCTAATGAAATAGGCTGCGAATTCGATGCATGAAGGATCGTGATTCGTTAGGTTGGGAAGTTATAGCAGTGCTCTTGTCTTTTCCTTTCTTCCCTTTCCTTCAAACATATTGATTCACCCTTACAATTTATCTATTAACTTCATAATTTACAACGCCATTATTAATAAATTGGTGTATGCATAATGACAAACAAATTTTTCACACAAACCTATATTTCTCGCATTAACAGTAAAATTTCCTCTATGATAATTATTCAATTTTATTTATATTTGTTAAACGGTTATAATAATGTAACAGTTCTATTTAACAATCGATAACAATCGATCATATATGTAACTGTGTATATCAGAAGGTAAAATTTTCATAGCTGAAAAGTTTATAATTTTCTCGTTACGTGACTCTCGCGTATCGCAGAATGTAGATGCTGATACGAGTTTGGATTAAACATTTCTCATTCGAAATCAAATGTTTCATTCACGGAGGGAAAGGCATATCTGATATTGTCGTTAATGTTCATATTTGACATGTATATCAATATGACAACATCATGCGTTACCATGGTATTTTCTAAAAGAACTTTTTATTTTAATGAATTTCCTTATGTACAATTTCAAGTCAATTACATACATACAAATTTCTACAAATTATATTATGTAACATAAATTCTGTTATAATTTGTGGAGAATTGGTCGAGGATATATAATGTGTAACGAGTGTACTGTCGCAACTCGTCAAATATATTTCGAATAAGTTAAATAATTAAATAAATAAAGTACAAACAGTCGTAAGACGCTCGTTTACTGTATTCGTAACGATAGTATATGTTCGCTCGCGGAAAACCCGAATCGTAGATAATGATGGACTAATATGTGTCACTCGGTATATGCGTCTGTATATTTATGCTGGTCGGGGGGAATCGGAAAGTTTGAACTTGTCTAAGATCGACAATTGCCCATAACGGTGACTTTGTTTTTGTCTATCGATATGATTCAAGCGTCAAGGTTGTATCCGTGTTCCGAAGCACAACAATAACATGAGACGCTCTCGATCCGCCTCGTCCTATAACTCATTTACCGCTACAAATTTATTATTTTATTGTAATATAAAATTTATGTTATATAAATTTTTATAAAAAGCACAAAAGACTGGCTGACGTGCAGTGATGACGATAGAACGCGAAACATCGCTATTACGAAATTCAGTCTAGTATTGAATGCGATTCCAAATTCTCTCCGTGAGAATATTCTCATAATATATCCTCCGATGAGGAATATTCCAGAATGCTTTAGTATTATCGAATTATACAAAAGGCCTTGTAGTAGTAGAGGAGAGGAGAGTAGTTCAATCTGTTTTCCAGCGAAAAATGTTCCTTTCAAACAACTGATCCGCGCCGTTAATACGGTGAATTATCTAATAAACATCATGGACTGTTTTCGATTATGGAGTTCCCAATACACCGAAGATGTAGTCTAAAAGCATTTAGATCAATGGCAGAATAACAGAAAAATTGTTCAGAACGTAACACTCTTTTCAACTCGATACTAGACTTACAACAGCGGAAATCATAACACAGTAGAGCCTCGATTATCCCAATTAATTCTGTTTAGAATGTTCGAAAGTAAGAAAAGGTGTTGTTGCGCCAGGGCGACTTGCACGACAATATAATAATATCGGTACAGTAATAAGCTCAGAAACACAGTTTCCACGCTTATGTACAACGCCAGCTTAGGCGACGGATGGACGTGTAGGGTGGCAAAGAAATACTCGGCGTTTTATTTAACAATGCGTTTGTTAATTCTGACTATTTATTCACAACTCTTGTTGACAACTGTCGCAATCGCCACTATTCACTTACGACTCTCGTGTCACGTCGGAGACACAACAAATCACGAGATCGATAGATCGCCGGTGATCTTGTCACGTAAAAATAATGGGAAAATAATAATAAAAAAAAATGTTGGGTTCTTGAACCAGAGTTCGAGATACCTTTATTCTATAATAGGATTACAAATGTGCGATTAGACTGTTACCGAATGACTGAAGCTTCGATCAAGATCCAGACCTTCTAGATGTTCGTTTATCTTATGCCTACGTGTCGAATTCATATTGCTTTATCTTGGGAGTCGATGTCGTGTGCAAGGTGGTTCAGGTTTCCTGAGTCGGTTGGAGATATTTGTCGACGTTACAATATCCTCGCGTCGCAGTTCGAACGTTTCACGAATAAGATGAAGAAATTGAACTTTGTATATGATAATAGGATTTTCAATAGGCAAGTCGAACCGAGTGACGGTTCAAAGTGTTACAAAAGACTGGGTCAAAATGTTTTAACAGGTTGATTCGAGCGTTTAATTTGGACGGCTTTTATATTGTGGTTTTAGTCCTTCTGGAGAGGTTGTCGTCTGGCATATCTCAGAGGCGCCTATTTCGTTACTATTTGATTATTGTTTCGATGTCTGTAGCTTATCCTATTACTGTTTCTGAGCGGGTGGTCTTCTTGAGCGTGTGACACTCGCTTACGACTCATCTCTCAATCCGCTTTCTTTCCTTTTGTCATCTCTCGATATCCCCACTACGCATGTGTTCGTTAGACGTCTGCGAACGCGGTCACGTATGCCTTCTTCCGAGTATTTGGCGGAAGGACCGGTAGGGATATCGATGTTCCATTGGACCTGTCGGCACTTACGCCGCCCATACGTGTTCCATAGAATTTAAGTCAGGTGATTGTAAAGAAATTACTAACTCTCTATCGCTACATCGCCACATTTTAGATATTTCGAAGCAAGAGGCTAGAGCAGTTGAAAGAACAGAATTATTCCGACAGTCGACGAGGAACTTTCAGAGAGCTGAAAAAATTAAAGTAAAGTGTTACTTGGACGTATTGTTACTTGGGTGTGCAGTGCGCATAATGAGCGTTGTATGCAGTGTAGTAATATTTATATCGCAGCCATTGTTTACAAAATGTATACATTTTTGCTACGATGCGACGGCGGCAATAGCACAAAAGCGCTATTACGTTCATACGGCGAAAGATATCACAATAGGACTATGATATTTAAAGTAAAGTAAAGATATTTTGCAAAATAGATAAACGATTGCGGGATACTGATACGTTAAAACCTGCTGAATCTAGCGAACGACCCACATCTGGGAGATAGAAAACTGCACCGTATTCGCCCGAGACAATCGCGATGCGTGCGTGATCGTTCTGTGGACACTCGTGAACGGAACAATAGCAGTTTACGTCTCTGAATACCATGGTATTTTTTGTACGACCTGTAAAAATTCGGATTGAGGATCACTGTGCACCCTGTTGCTTATGCTGACCTCCTTTCGTTCGTGTAAGGGTATTTTTTCCGATTTTCCATTGTCAAAAACTAAGAAACACAATCTTTTTATTCTTAATTTTCGTCTTACTTCGGGTACAAGAATCATCCCTTAAATTTCCTGACATCTGTAGCGGAACACCCTGTACAAAGTGTTATTATATTTCTCAGTATAAGATAATTTCTAACAGCTTCATCAATAGCACGCTATGTAAGCTCTGTCTGACTGCAAGAAGTAAATATACATAATACAAATAAAATCAGTTATACATATATATACAGGATTTCTGTTTCATCTCAGTAAAGTGAAATATCTTTTAAGGAAATGATGATACGAAAAAAGTGCTGTAACAAAAGTTGTTTGGTATAGAGGAGGATGTTATGTTGTGAAGATATTTTTTTCATGTCTAATATGGTGGCAGAGATTTCAAAGTCAATTTAATTTTTTTAACGGAATATTGTATTTTTGTATAGATAACACTATAGTGCATATCGATACGAGATCAACGAGCTGGTAATGAAGTCGTTTGCTTTCAAGGAAGGTCCTAAAATTGCGAAAAAGCTGAGATTTGAATTACCCGTTCCTCACTGTCGTATTAGCCCGCTAAGGCTATTTTGTAGTGTAATGTGACTGGGCTCAAACACACACATCTACTGAGGAAATCCTGTTTTCCTCAAGAAGTAGTATCTATAAATGAAAGTTTTCAATAATTCAAAATTGAGCACATTGGTAGATATAAACGTATAGTACATTATCTATGTCATTTAGCTATTTGCTAACTTTGTCCGATAATAACTTCTCCTGAGTAGAAGAATTTCTTTAATAGCTGTGTCTGTTTCGATTCGACTGCATACAAGTTTAAGTAGACTTAGCGCACCGGTGCGGTAGTGAGGAACAGGTGACTCGAATCCTAGTTTTTCTCAATTTTACGATCTTCCATGAAAGGAAACGATTTTGCTAATAGCTTGTTGATATTCCCTTATAAGTAACACTTGATATTATAACTTAAATGAAATTGTATGACAGACCCAGGATAAAAAGGGACAATGTCATGTTGTAGCACTTTTCAGACAACGAAAATTTATTTTTCAATATGTAATGTCACAATTTTATATTTTCTCATAAATATTCTATCAAAATAAGACATTTCGTTCTTCATTTCATTCTGCATCGTTTTCCAGTTTTACTTGTAATTTTAGGTAATATATAATACAGGAAACAGTAATAAATGAAAAATACGTTGTACACGATAATTTAATTCGAATTAACACGACATAGCTAGTGATAAAGAGCACACACAGAAATATATGAAAAGATGTTAAATTCAAAATTTGTTGAAATTGACATACCTTGTTTTTCTCGTCGACCTTTTATATAATAAGAAATATCATATATTCATGTATATTATATACTAATTAAAGGTGTCAGATTGTTTAAAAGCAAATAAGGGAAATACGTTAACTTGTGAAATAGAAGTAGAAAGCTTTAAAAAGTGCATCGATAAATCATTGCATGCTGCTGTTGATAGAAATATGAAAGGTGTACGTAGAAGCAAGAAAGGAAGTTACTTAGAAGCATTTGAAAGGAAATATCAGTTTTGATTCTTTAAAATAAATATAAAAACTTGAATATCACACATCGTACGTACAATATTATTAAGTTTACCAAGAAATTTTTTATGAAATTGAAGTATATTATAAAACAAATAACAATAGATAAATATTTGCTAACAGCACATATGTATATTATAAGCAAATTATTTATGTATTTCAGATCGACACCGAAGATAAATAAGATGGTTTCTATTTTCTGTTGAGAGAAATTTTTTGTTGATAAGAGATTAATATATATGACAAACAAATTCAATTCTAGGACCGAAAAGCGCGTGCATAGAACTTTGAAGTTTAATATGTACCAAATACATAAGTGGTAAAAGAAGTTATTCAGCTTTACTTAGTTTTTCTTTCTTTCTTTTATCTGTTGGTAGACACAAGATTTGGCAAATAAACTTTTTTTTAAAATAATAATTATGTATATAAATGGTATTTCAAATACATATTTCAATATTAACTCATACAAATTATTATGAAATGAGTGTTTCATTGAAATATAAGATAAAAGTATTTCAAATAATAATATTTCCATCAATTTCTATTTCAAATAATACTGTATCAAATAGTAATACTGCTATTTTTACTTAAGTAATACTGTTTCGACCGTTCGCGGAGAGACGCGATCGCGAGAAAGCACGTCAACGAGAGTCGTAAATTCCCGTTAGGATTAAATAATCGACGCCACGAACTGATCGATCTCCTTATTTCTGTTAGGTTAATATGGGGTGCTTCAATTGAGTTTACACTGATTTGACAGGTATAAATTAATGTTTATACCAACAACTTCTTGACTAGAAAGATATAAATTGATAAGATATAATTAAATTCCAATTGATAGACAAAGTGTGGAGTACGCGACGCAAGCTTAGATGAGAACGGTTCGAGATATGTATTAAAACTGACTTTCTGTGAAGATGATGCTGCGGAGGAAACTTGGGTGGGTCTAAGGACACGAAAAGAGCTGATTTGTTAAGGACAAGTTTTCGTTGCTAGAGTGAGGGAATAGATTTTGCTGTTAATTGGTCATTTGACAAGTTGGTGGGTGAGGAAGAGTACTAAGGCCCCCGAGAGAAAATTGGCAGTGGGAAGCATCATACGCGAGAAAAGCCAACTTTCCTGTAAAGTAAAAGTATTTGTTGTTTAGAAAAGATTTATTTAGATTTTATTTAGATCTTTAGATTTAGATTTAAGATTTGTTTAGAAAGATATTGTTGTTTAGAAAATTCCTGAGATTTAGGGAGGGTACGCAGTAAGGATGTATAGACATCTGGCTGCCGTCTTGCCCGCTGTGTGTGGCCTGGTCAGTGCAGAGAGTCACCAGACGTAACATTCTCCCCCGAGGAGAGGGTACCGATCAAAGTTAGCGAGGTGTGGTGTTGTTTGAATTCTCATCCTATCTCGTCCCGGTCGTTTGTTATTCGGATTTCTCGAGATCGGGTTGATTCGGCAGTGGAACAAGCCTTTTGACGCTCCGATCCAAAATGCTTTTTGCCGTCTGAACTATAGCTATCCGGATGATACCATCGGCACCTGGCTGAATCTTGATAACTCGACCCAGAAGCCACTGCATTCAGAGCACGTTGTCCTCTCTGTTGCCATCGAGAAAGACGGTTGGATGGAGTGTTCTTGAAATCTCGCTCAGACAAACTCATTAGTGAATCATTAGGAAATTCATTGTTTGCGCCGATAAGGTTTGTGCCGTTATCGGAGTGGATGGTCGAGCAAAACCTTCGCCGAGCGATGAAGGTTTCGCTCGTGAGATCTCCAACGAGCTCAATGTGCGCCGCCTTAACTGCTAGGCATAAGAAGATGGTTACGATTGATCGAGACGGCGGTTACGATTTCGTTTCTCCTTGATGTGGAATGGCCCACAATAATCGACACCAATATTTGTGGATGGGCGAGATTCCGTTACTCCGGCAAATCCCCCATTATGTAATCCACCCATGGCGGTCGAGCGTGACAGCAACGCTTTTACCGATCGAGAGGCGGCCCTGGGACCGACCTTCCTCTTGTCGTTCTTCCCCCAGTCGTGTGATGACCGTCGGGGCGAGCCTGGGGAGGCACCACCCGCAACACCGACGGGGCTTTGGGACTCCGACACCCCCTGAACCGTAATTTTTTTCTTTCTCTTAGCGTTAATTAACAAAATAGAGTAGTCCGGGATATAGCCAAGTTCGACATAAATTCATTTCTCCTTTCTCGTTTTTATTTCCATTGCCAAGGTAGTCATAATTGTATATCAGATCTTCTTCGATCAGATACTTCGAGAACGTGTCGACACGTGTTTAAGCGGTTGAATAATGTTCGCAGATGCTCCCAATGTTATTTGTTGCTTTTTGAAGCTATTAGGAAATTGCCGATATATATGTAGGCGAAATCGAGACCTCCCGTGATTTCGTCCTCGAATCGCTGGCACGTATGCGCAGCGTTTCGAAGCCCAAACATTGTATTAATTGCTTCGAAAAATCCTAAGGGTATTGTGATTATGGCTCCCTCGATGTCTTCCGGCGCGATCGGAATTTGGTGGTAAGCTCGAGCAACGTCAGTGTTAGAAAAAATGCGGTTATCGTGCAAGTGTTGCGCAAAGTCTTCGATGTGCGGCAGTGAATACCTGTCGGCTATAGTGCGGGCGTTCAACGCACGGTAGTTGCCGCAAAGTCGTAGGCTTCCGTCTCTCTTTGGTACGACATGCAGGAGCGATGCTCATGAACTCCTGGATGGTCGTATCACTCCTTGCTTCATCATAATTTTAAACTCTAAGCGATAATGTATTTATCTGGAGTTCGTTTACTTTTAAGTCTAGTGAATCGAAACAGCGTTGACACTAAGTATAAGAATAAGTACAGGTATAAACATAGTGCATGCTGATCCAGATGCTCTCTCTAATAGTGTTACATTACAATTGAAGGTCGTAGGGATGATGTTGATATATTTGCAACAAAGGACATTAGCAAAAAAGATTCACCTTGGTATGTAATTTTAGCTGAAATTTACAAGAGAAAAATTTACTCAGTAGCTCTTTATTTCTTATAATTCAATTATATTCAGAGCCAAGATAATATGGACTTCCTCCCTTTTTTTTTACTTTATTAAACTGTACTTAATTACTTCAACAGAATCAAAACTTAGTTGCTAGATTTAATTTTGCTACACTGTCTTTCAAATTATTTTGCAATACTTTTAAATATTTCATTTTATCTAAGATCCCATCGATAAACATAAGGTTTCTCACATAATTATCTGTCATACACGCCATACGATCACAGATCTACCATTACGTTTATTAGTTGGCTGTAAATTTATTATTTCTAATTCTGTATTCTGTTTTCGCCAAACTCTTTTACGTCCATCGTTACCAAAAATATATTTATTTTCATCAGAAAACAATACTCTATCCCAACACAACTGTGGAGGGATTGGTTGAGGATAGATTACGTAAAATAACGACAGCAAGGGAGAATATATCTCGAATAAGTTAAATAATTAAATAAGTAGATAAAATACAAACTGTCGTAAGACGCTCGTTTACTATATTCGCAACGATAGTATATGATCGCTCACAAAAAACCCGACTCGTAGATATTGATCGCAAATATGTGTCACTCGTCAGCGTCGAATCGATGCCACGTCAGCCGTGGCGGCGTATCACCAATGAGGAAATTCATTGTTTGCGCCGATAAGGTTTGTGCCGTTATCGGAGTGGATGGTCGAGCAAAACCCCCGCCGAGCGATGAAGATTTCGCTCGTGAGATCTCCAACGAGCTCAATGTGCTCCGCCTTAACTGCTAGGCATACGAAGATGGTCACGTATACCTTGATCTGACGGCGGTTACGATTTCGTTTCTCCTTGATGTGGAATAGCCCACAATAATCGACGCCGAGGTTTGTGGATGGGCGACATTCCGTTACTCGGGCAAATGCCCCATTATGTAATCCACCCGTGGTGGTTGAGCGTGACAGCAACGGACGCAGCCTCTTATGATACACCAGACTTGACTTCGGCCGCCGACGGGCCAGTATTGTTGTCCTACTACATATAACGTGGCCTGCGTGTCGGAGTGCACGTGGGCCTTGTGTTCATGTTCGATAATGCGTTCTGCGACTGATGATTTAGGTAGTATTATAGGATGTTTTTGGGTAAAGCTCACTGACTAAGTCGGCCACCGAATCGCAATATTCCTTCCTTGTCTATGAACGGTTTGAGTCGCGTGAGTTTCCCTTTTACTGCCGTGTTTCGATCCTTTCGGAGTTTACGCATTTCCCCGGAAGAGTGGATGTTCTGTAATAATTTTATTAGCTTATCGTGTGTTAGGTTCAATTCGGTTACAGTTAAGGGCGTCGCTCGGTTCTGTTTTTGTTTCCAACGGAGGCAACGAGCGATGATTCGTATCAACTTGGGCCACGGTGAGTATCTTTGTAACAAGCTATAATGGGCGGGAGTTGCGGACGGACAAATGACCCTCTTCTGTTCCGGTAATTCGATTTGTGGTGTTGATATGTATATCTAGCAGCAGTCTTCAGACCAGTGGAGCTACTCAGGACCGTGCTTCCAAATGGACGGGCGTAGAAACTCTTCGGGCATTCTTAGATCCGCGGGATTGTCGTTGTTGGGAACATGACACCAATCACGGATACTGGTTTTTTTTGGATTTCGGAAACTATGTTGGCGACAAATGTTTTGAATCTTTCCACGCGATGTGTTCATCCAGTGGAGTTCGATGATGGAATCGGTTTATCTTTTGGATAGTTCAAGTAATGTTGTGCAATAGGGCCTGCTGTACTGTCGATATCAGGGACGTGAGGAGGAGTGCTCCGCTCAATTCGAACCGAGGAATGGTTTGGGATTTGAGCAGAGCTGACTTTTGATTTCGCGGCGTAACGATAAATTGAGGGAAACTGTAACGATACCGTATGTCGCGATCCGCGTTCCGTTGGCCGCGAACAGTCCGTAGTCGGTTTTGTTCGTGTGTCCGCGGATCTTGCTGCGCGGATAAACACAAGTGTAAGCACCGGTGTGCACTAAATACGAGATTTTCGTTCGTATATCTTTAACGAAA